TATTTGAATCACAACTGTTTGCCAGGTGCTGTTTCTGAAACAAATCAGACAAATTATTATCTTTATGAAGTAAAAAATCAGAAATCAATTTTTGCCATATAACATTAACCAAAAAGCTATGATTTAGCAGTACAAATAAAATAAGATACATATATATATATATATATATATATATATATATATATATATATATATATATATACCGTATTTTCCGCACTATAAGATGCACCAAAAAGCATTCCATTTATTCAAGAGCCGACAGTGCGCCCGATAATCCGATGCGCCTTAAATATGGATCGACATTCTGATTTCTTGGACGTAGTATTTTGAATGTTTTGTAAAGCGCTTTGCTACAGCTGCAGCTGTTGTAAAAGCTCTATATAAATAAAGAGTATTATATTGTATTATATTTCCTTAAGCATAGCTCCATCTAGTGGATCTGTAATGCAACCGCAGCCACTATTGTAGCTTATATTCGATGCGCCTTATAATGTGGTGCGCCTTATATAGGAAAACAGTTTTAAAATAGGCCATTCATTGAAGTTCCGCCTTATACTCCGAAGTGCCTTATAGTGCGGAAAATACGGTAATTGCTCCGCATACCTTTCCCTGCTACAACACTGATGACAATTTTAGCGCATTGAATCTGTCAAAGCTGTAAAATGTCAAAGTGACCGTTGAAGCCTTTTTTTTCTGTATGCAGCCCTCTGAGATTGTTTTTTTATGTACACTTATTACATTAGAAGGTCCACTTGTATCCCTATCTCTTGCCATCAGCCTCTCCTTAGCCGGTGTTCGGATTTTATACACTAGAATTCTTAACACACTTGCTAGCCTCTTGAGAGTGTGTGCATTTATGTGCAATCCTCTTAGTTCCAAGATGATGATTAGTTGGGCTTCTCACTCTGAGGTGAGGCCACGCATCACTTTTGTGTCAGCACACTCCAAAGCAGGAGACCGATGCAGAACAGTGACAAGGGAAAATTATTCATTAAAAAAGTAACAAGATATAAGTCCTTCACATACCAAAAGCAAAAAAAAAGTTTTTTTTTAAACCACGGGTGACCCTCCGGTTTGTTTTTTAATGAGCACTCACAGATAAAAAAAAGCATGCCATCAGTACTGAGACATTTCATTGCCCGTGGAGAAATGCATTCATAAAATAATGCAAGACATTTGGACTAAATGGATATTTGTGCTGTGTTTTTGCACGACACATACGCACTTTGGAGGCATGTCAGGTTCAATTCCAAAGTTTTGAGGCGAGTGGGCTGGAGTTGAAGTGGTGTTGCGTGGAGTGTGTTTAAATGATGCCTGCATATGAAGAGGAATTTAATGGTTGAGACTCTTAATGCAGCCACCATGTGACAAGCATACCAAGCAGAGCAGTTGTGTACAATGGCTCCTTTTGTCAACTCGGACTCTGATTCTTGACAATGACCAATCAGCCCTCAAGTGTTTTTGGCTCAATTCTAATTTTTAAAAAAATGGCCCTAAATACCCTCAAGTAGTTTGAAAGTGTGTTGAATTTCACAGCCTGATTGATGCCGTTTCCAAGCAGTGTAATCAATGCAGTCGGGAGTGTTATTTTCTACATGTGAGCGCACAAAAGTAGCTTTACCTCAAAGAACTCAGTACTTTTTTGAAATTTGAGTTAAAAATAGCCATATTTTCATCAGTTGCTCGACCTGCTCTGTCTTTACACATCATTGTTGTCTCGTTGGATTCATTTGTTGAGAGTCAATGGATGCACAATGCATTAACATGATCAATTAAAGGCGGGAATCGCAGAGTAACTCGTGATACAATATCCATCCATTATCTGAACTGCTTATCCTCACGAGGGTCGCAAGCATGCTGCCGCTTATGCCAGCCGTCTTTGGGCAGTAGGCGGGGGTACACCCCTCAACTGTTTGTCAGCCAATCGCAGAGCACACATAGACAATTTAGAGTGTCCAATTCACCTACAGTGCGTGTTTTTGGAACGTGGGAGGAAACTGAAGTACTCTGAAAAAATCCACGCCGGGCAGGGACGGGGAGAACAGCATGCAAACTCCGCACAGGAAGGCTGGAACCCGGAATCAAACCCTGGACCTCTTGGGTTCATCGGTCTCCAAAATGTTGTGCCATTTTTCATTTGGTCTGCCAATATGTTCTTTGGCAAGTAACCTCTGCAGCACATTTTTTTTTCTTCGAACAATGTTACTTTTGAAAGGAGCTTCCTGCCAAAGGCCATTTTTAAGAAATATAGAGTAAATATACTTCACTGACTTGAATACTAGTTCACAGGTCAACACAGATGTGAAGCAGCAAAATTGGGATGGTGAAACATCCAATAATCACTGGAAGCACTATTTACATATTTATTGGATTTTCTCTTAGAATGTTAGAAGAGCGTCGGTTGAAATTTCACAAGAAACGTTTCCCAGCCGTATTATTCTCTCTCCGCATATTCATTCTATTCAGAAAAGCACATAGTAGTAGAGGTGGGAGCACAATGGCTGCGCTGTTCCAGAACGCAGGTATGAGTGTGTGGGTGTTTCTGTCAAATCACACGAATATCTCTGACGCTGCACTCTTGAGAGGCGCCATCCCACACCGTCAATGGAGGTGACATTTTCCATTGTGCATCTGAAAGCTTCGTTGAGATGTCCTGTTTGCAACATAACGTGCTCTCACTCTGAACTTAATCTCACAATGCTATGTGTCTACATGCTGCCATGACAAATGTGACCTTTTCACAAAAGAATTGTTGGCCTCATGATCTTAAATGTACCTGGCATGAGAATTTCAAATAAGTCAGAACTGTAAGATCATTATACTATGATAGCTTATCACTGTCCCTGTTGATACAGTAACTGTAGACTAGCATCAAATCATCAATACCTTCATTAAATATCCATAACATAAATATAAAACTGTATTGTTGCTGATTGTTTTCACATCCACAAATCATCGCAAATCACTTTATCATGATGCACCGCGAACAAAAGCCTGCAATTTCCACCTCGAGTAATAACCTATGACTTAATTATAGATTGCGTGCTCTCTCTTTTGTCATATTGAAATAAGGTTTGATACCTGAGAGGTGGCCAACAAAGAATCTTGATATGTGGGAGACTGGAAACTTTTCCAAGTGCACTTAATTACACTTTTGAATGCCATGTCTACTTGATTTATTATATAAGAATTGGTGCAGATAATAAGTGCATGATGTTTAAATGAGAATAGCACTTTGGAGTCTAAAACTGGAAAGTCGAAGAGAAGACCTTTGTAAAAGAACACATAGGGCTCTATTTCTGTACACTGTGCATGTACAGTATGCTCGGGTGTAAAAAACAGGCGTATCTTGATTTTTGTGATCTGCAATCCTTGTTTAGAGTGTTTGGGAATTCAGCAGACCATGCTGGACGTTCTGTAGGGTGTTTTCTTTTACACACCCCCTGCACACCGGACAATTTGGTGGCAGAAGGTAGAATAATCTTTAGACCTGCTAAAATCAGGTCTAAGTTGTGGCGCAGGTTGGTATAACTCAATTTTGGTGTGTTTGATCGCAGCTTAGGCAGCACAGAATCTGCGGTCTGCTGACACGTATGGTGGGTGTATTTAATTAATAAATATGAAAAACACATGCACTGAACCCTCTAAATAATTGCAGAAATCAAGTCATTGTACACACTGTTATTATTATCATCTTTATTAAATTTTAAAAATCCCACTCCCTGCCCGTGGCACAGCTATTGGGAGGCAAGGGACACACGAACGATTGGGTTGGAGCGTGGGCTCACAGTGCCCACTTCACAGTGGTGACCTCTCTGATCACCCTTGGCCAACTTGACATCATCCGCCCGTGGAGGTCTGATTGCAGTTCCTTAGACGATTACGTTGCGCACTTCGATCTTCTGAACGGACTGTGTATTTCTGTTTCCGCAATGTTAAAAGACATTGCGCCTCTCGTATGCTGATTTTAAAGGGAAGTAGAGGAGGTCGCTTCCATTGGCAGGCGGGAAGCAAGTCGGCTGTGTTCATGGGCACAACGGCGCACAAATGCCCATTTGTATCACCGTTTGGCTGCGAAAATACCAAAAGAAAAAGAAAACTCCACCTACGTGCACAATTCGATCACACTTTTGCGCTAAACTCACGCTGGACACAAAAATAGAGCCAATCCTGTTTTAGTGTGCTGAAATTGGTCAAAAACACGTCATGCACATGCATGATGCTCAGTGGTATGGACGGTATGTCACATTTACAAGTACTATATGCTGATGAAAGCTATTCGAAAGGCAATGTTGATTGATAGCAGTTAGTATGAGTGTAGTTTCATTTCAAAAGCGATGCCAGCACAATCTTTTCTGTCATGTTTTTTTTTTCTTCTAATTTGTGTGTACAAGGATCATTTTGACCAAATCCAAATCTGTACGTTGAAAACACACACATGCCATACTACTAGTAGGTGGTGATTTTGGCATTATTTAAGTATGTTTGACTGAGGGGGGGGGGGGGGATTTTGAGATGTGATTGCAGCCCCCAAAGTCACTGTGAGAATCGTGTGGAAAGATTTGGAGACCTGCTCGTCCTCGTAGCACTCCCACATTCATGAAGGACTATGCTGCTTTAAGCGGGTCCAAAGGCCGTTCTTCTGCAGACTGCAGAGCAAATTAGATCAGATGAAATAGAGGACATGGACCCTGCTGCCATGTATGTGTCTGTCACCATATCGGCTTTGCTTTCGCTATATGGCACCTTTAAAGGCAGTTTGAGGGAGGACACGGCTGCAGCCAATATTATTTCTTGGAGTTAAAAAGCACGAACAAACTGCATTCACATCAGGCTTTAATTTAATCGGGATTTGTGCTCATCCTCCTTGACTGCAGAGTTCGTCAGCTGAGATAATTAACTTTGGAAAGACATCCCATCATCCAAACAACACTGTGATTTATTTGATTTGAAGCGTGTCCACTCAGGCAGCCGTTTGATAATCTCAATGTGTGTTTGTGTTTGGAGGGAGGTGTAAGAGGGATTTGTTTGGAGTAATTTACATCCCCTCTGTGATTGGCTGATTAGCCGTAGCTAAACTTTCGGGGCAAGCACAGCGTCGAGAAGTTCATAGTGCACAGAAAACGTAGGAGAAGGAGAAAAAGGAGTCGTCATGGCCCAGAAAAACAACCGTAAGTTATGGTGAATCTTCTTGAATTTTCTGATTACTTCAGGAATAACATTTTGGAATTCTGTGAGGTGTTTGTGGTCTTAATATTCTCATCCGACGATGCTTTAGGAAACAATGTCATCCTAATTTGAGTTCTGCTTTTTCCACACGTTTACATTTGCTCTTTGCATCAATTTGCAATAAAAATTGCCCTAGTCGAACGAGAGTGCTGTTCTTCGGTTACAAATCAGAAAATCCAGGAGGAATGTTGTTAAAGCCGCACGTAGATTAGCCTCCACTGAGCTGTTCCCCCTGCTTCCCTCCTTCAGTCCAGGTCAACATCAGGGAATACCGACCCTCCGATCATGGTGTGGTCACAGAGTTGTTTGGTGACAGCATCCGCGAGAACATATACCCGGCCTTCTTCAAGTCCATGAGCCACTCTGACCACGTGGGTGTGGCACTAAGCATCTCCATGGCTGGCTACGTGCTTGGGGGCAGCTCCTACTTCCAGGCGCTGCTCTTCGGCGCGGCGTGGGCCGGGTTCATCTATTTCTGCTGCCACGAGATCTACGAGGGCTACATGCTGAGGAGGCTCAACACAGACATGGCTGACATCCAAGCCAACTACTTGGACAACCCAAATAATGGCTTCTGGGTGGCAGAGGCAGCAGACAGAGAACTGTCCAGGGTGGTGGGCATGGTGGCGGTGATTGGGCGAAGGGAAACAGAAGAAGGTGAGCAGCGTAACAACTTGAACGGCGGTATGAGGACAGGATCATCGGCCGACGGGAGCGGCGATAGCGGCAAGATGTCCCACTTGGCTGTGGCGTTCCCGTGGCGTCGTAGGAAGGTGGGCTCCCACCTGACACAGCGGGCGTTAGACTTTTGTAAAGAACGGGGCTTCGCACGTCTTGTGCTGGATGTCAGCTCGCCACAGACGGGGGCCGTCTCGCTTCTCCGAAAAAGTGGCTTTATTCAGACGTCGACGCACAACGACACACACGCCAATCGCTGGATCTCCAAACTGGCCAGAATCAGTGTGACACGCATGGAGAAAATCCTCTGAAAGACTCAATGACTTCTTCCCACCTGGACTGTGCAGCACATTATTCTAATTGCATGATGCAAAGCAACTTTAGTTGGTAGTTCCTCATGTAGTGGCCTCCACTTGAATAGATATCCGGCCAGACTTAATTACTAGGTGTCATGCACTTGACCAAATAAACCCCTGTCCTCAAATAGATGCCTCCTTTTGTCTCGTCAAGAAGACATGCAAATGGTTGTAATTACATTTAGGTGTCACCTTGTGTCACAGTCGACTACCGAACCACAAACACTTCAAAGCAAACATGCCTTGCGTTAAGCTGTAGTTGACCAATGAATTTAAAGAGATAAATGGCTTCAGTTTGCGGTGATTAGCAAAAGTTGCTACGTTTGTGTGATCTGAAAAAAAAAACAACAAAAGACCCATTTCATGTCCACTGGAGAGAGTTCCTCGCTGGAGGGAGAAAAAGAAAGTCAGCAAGAAGTTGGTGTTATTCCTTGTGGGACAAACACAAGTAGTCGTGAAGTGCCAACAAAAAATAGGAGGATGGAGCGGTTGTAATACCATATGAAATAAATTTACTCTAAGACCTTCAGGAGGATCAATTATACACAAGATGGATGGATAACTCAACATTGATTATCAAAAAGCACTTTTTGCATTCAGGTTTCAGAATGGCCTGTCCCTGGCCTGGCCTGGCTTCTGTTGCTTTTCTATTACAAGGACCAACCAATAGTGGTTGGATCAACTGCATTGCATGTGATCCTCCACTACATATTTTGCAGTGTGTGGGGTTCTGCCAAAATGTCACGAGCGCATGAGTCTCGGCCGGAGGTTTTGTGGGGTGTCAAAAGATGAATCACAGGTGCACAATGTGGTGATGTCACAAATTATACAGTATTCTATTAAATGCACAGAAGCTTTAATACGGATTAAAAATCCATTCAAGCAAGAGAAACAGCCGCCCGCCGCCAAGATATCAAAATATGTACGCATGTTGCATGGCTTTATTCAGCTGAATGAAAGTGATTTCCTTCTTTCAATATATTCCCATTTTTATCTTTGTTGTCGATCATGTCCTCTTTCTGTCACGACCTCTGTTCCTTGACTGGAATTGTGCAATGTGCTGCTGCCCTTCGAGAGGAAAAAGTAGTAACACAATTTATGTGTACTGTATATACTGTCTGTTTGTGACATGCCCACAACCGGCTGTCTCTTGCTTGCTGAAAAACTGGAACTGGGCGTGTGCAGAGGAGTCCCTTGCTGTTTCGCTTAAAGAGACGCCTACATCTGTTGTCAAGTCAGATGACAGTGAGTAGGACTACGTTGGAATCATTTCTGAGGAATTATTCCATTGTGATCCACAGCCTCGAAAAATTGTAATGGAAAAACAACCACACAGGGCGGATCGAGGCTGTTTTGCAATAGAAACGACACAGTGAGAAAGATATACCGCAGAATAAATTACCGTATTTTCGGCATACCTAAAAGCATTCAATTTTCTCAAAGGCCGACAGTCCGCCTTATAATCCGATTCACCTTACATATGGATCAATGTTCTGGTTTCTTGGATGTAGTATTTTAAATGTTCTGTAAAGCCGTTCGTTACAGCTGCAGCTGTAGGTGAAAGCGCTACATAAATAAAGCTCTATTGTATTGTACTGTATTCCCTTTTGCGTAACTCCAGCACGATTGTAGCTTCTATTCTCTGCGCCTTATAATGCCGTGCACCCTATAAATCAAAACTGTTTTAAAAAAAGGCCATTCATTGAAGGTTCCTTATACTCCAAAGCGCCTTATAGTGCGGAAAATACAGTACTTATAAGCATCATTATTTGTGGAAATAAATCACATCATATTATTTTACATTATTATACAATTCATGTAGGCCTTTACAAAAAAGACCTCCCCCTAATAACTGTTTCAACCACTCTAAACACACGGTACTGTCTGCAGTGGATGAAATGCATCCTGCCATGATTTGAGTAAATACATCACGCTACATTGTAATTATGATTTCTAAACGTCACAAATGTTTTCAGTAGTCTGTATGCACTGCAATACAGTGACAGACAGATGGACAAACACCAATCCGACAATCGTGTTTCCACTTTTCCTGACAGTCTGACATTGGCAGAAGTCTTGCACTGTGCTGACTAACATTATCGTTTCACACTATATTATGCTTAAAGAATAGATTAAACATCTATCTTGTCATGGTCCGAGACTTACAACTACAATACTGAACGTGGACGATGGTGTTGGAATATTCTTTGTCATCATGGTTTTCCATAAGTTTATGTTCTTGTCTTGGACCTCTATTAGGTCTTTTGAGCAACATTAATTTAGCATGAAAACAAAATAAAAAGAAAAACATTGGACGGATGTTGTCAAGCAGTTCGCCAGGCATACACTTGCATCGTCGTGCAATGCTAACACAGCTGAGATAGCAACTCACAGGTCAAATGAGATGTAACTAAACATGTCTTCAGTAGCTCTACAGACGATTGGACAAAAAAATGGAGCCAGTGTCATGATCTTTCGACTGTTTTTAGAGCAACTGAAATATGTGAGAAAAGATAAGTTCAGTCATTTGGAGGTGGGGGAGAACTTTGTTTTAAGCCTCTTTCCAGTGAGCAGTTGAATCCGTCCATTTTAGAGGAATTAATGCCAGCCGTCTTCTAAGACCTCACAACTCTTTGCTTAAAATACCAATGAAAAATGCAATAGTGTCAGGACATTGGGAGGTTTAAAATTCTTTGGAGCTGAAGAGAGTGCGGCATACAAAGAGGATAAAGAATGGAGGATTACGCATTGCATTCAGGTCAGCGTGCACGGTGAAAATACTGAGATTAGAACTAATGGCACACAAAAGAATAACAGAGGCGTTTCCATTCATGTGATTTGGAGTGCAAGCGTCATTTGTCACACTCTCGTTGTATGATTGGGAGTGGATTGTAAGATGATGTTTGTTGAAGTCAAAGTGAGTCACTGATGGTGTAGTGGTTTACTCGCCTGACTTTGACGCAGGCACGGTGGGTTCGGTTCCCGTTCGGTGATGATGTCAACGCAAGTGTGAATGGTTGTCTGACCCCCATCACCTGCATATTTGATAATTCGGTTAAATATAATTGTCAGGATTATTTTATGCATGTATGAGATTTCACTTGTTTAAAATATACAAAGATACCGTATGTTAAAATATTTCTTTGTTGGAACTGTTTACTTGGGCGTCACGTGGGAGTGAGCTGGATGTTAGAGAGATGAAGTCAGCTCATGATAGAAGCTACGCAGTTTTTTGACAAAGCAAACAAACAAAGAAACGGGGACAAAGAGATCTTTTTTTTTTTTTTTTTTTAAACATTGGGATTCAAAATAATGTAAATAAAATAATAGCAATTCCTTTTTCAGTGAACTCCAACTGGGGTGTCATTAAACAGCTTAAAGTACGCTCAGGGAGCTTCCGAATAACATTGATCACACGCTTTGCTGCACGACCAGCCTGGTGCTTTTAGGTTACTTTCACAACACGGGAACTTGCAAACACGCACACCGCGCCATTGAGCACATTAATCCTTTTTTTATTTAATTAGAATCTTTTTAATGATTGTAATATGTCACAATCAAATCACAATTACATTTCAATTAATTGCCCAGCCCGAGTACTTAGTACATGCACTGTATATTTAATTGCTGTTCAAAATGATGAGAGGGGCCTTTGGAAAAAAAATCTCCACTATAAAGTGTCACCAGATTAAGAAAGTTTTGAGAATCCCTTGGTCAAGTATATTCTGTCAACAAATTCAAAGGATATCTCGAATCGCTGTTCATATCGCAATTAAAAACGCACGGTCTGAAGACAAAATCTAGAAAGAGTTCTCAGTGTTTAATATAAAATGTAGACAGAGACAGAAAATGACAACATCTTGACTTGGGCACACTCACCACAAACTCGAAAAACCAAATTAGCATGGAGCAAAGAACAAATGCATTGAGTTAGCGTGAAGCAATGAAGCCATGATGTCTATTGGAGTGTCCACAATGGGACGGCTTTGATTTTTGACACCCCCTCTGTTTTTTATTGTCTTTTATTCATTAGAAAACTGCCCAGTTGCTTTCTGTTGCTGACTGAATATTGATACTGTACTTTTTTTTGTCCTCCTCTATGCCTTTGGATATGTTAAAGGCACAGGATTTGACTTGCATCTGTTTGAAGCAGTGGTTCTTAACCGTGTTAGAGGTACTGAACCCAACCAGTTCATATGCACATTCACCGAACGCTTCATGAGTGAAAAATAAAAATATGATTTTTTTACTGAAAAAGTAAACACAATTAGTATGAAGTATATATTTTTTTAATTGTGCATAAAATGAACCAAATCAGTGATGGCCCCGTGGGTGTACCATAACTAATTGACATGTTGAGTTGGGTGTGTCTTAACCTCCATGGCAGAGGCTCTGTCGAACCCCTGAGACTGTTTCGTCGAACCCCTGAAGCTGATTCACTGAACCCCTCGGGTTCAATCGAACCCAGGTTAAGAACCACTGGTTTAAAGGCTTTAAAAATGTTTTCAATGCACTTGTGTGATGTCAGAGTACACCAGAGCTGGTACAAGAGGGACAAAAATGGCAAGGCCAACCAGCGACTGCTGGTGTAGCTCAACTTTTTTGGAACGAACTCGCATGTTGGCAGCTGCTGCAAACAACCCATGCTAACCTTCCTGTGGGAATGGAATGAGTTGGCTTTTTAATTATCCATCTGTGATTTCTAAATGAGGGGTTGTTTTTTTTTTTTGTGTGTATGTCAAAACTAATAACTGGTGCCAGCGACGGGCCTAGGGAGAGTCCAACTTGCTGGTGAAGAAACAGACTGTTCTTTCGTCAAAGCCCTCGGAGATTACTTACCTTGACTTTGCAGAATAAGATGCTAATAAAAACACCGGTGAGACAATTAAATGACACAGTGGCACCAAGATCTTGAGAATTATTGTTGACAATATGAGCAGAACTGATCGCTCTTAATCTTTTTGAAGGATGTCAGACCAAGTCAAGAATTGACTGTCCTTCTTTTTACCCTGAATTTTATATACATATATATATATATATATATATATA